CAGCCCGCCCTGCAGCCGGCCCTCCGGGCGGCGTCATGCTGCTCGTTCTCTCCCGTGGCCCTTCTTCTTCTTCTTTTCCTCTCGGGGCCACCGGGTGGCTGCTTCCAGATCTGCCACCGCCTCACCTCATCGGGCTCCCCGCACCCCAGGAATGGTGCTGCCCAGGTGCGGCGGGCACCGGGAGAAAGACAGAAAATGAAAAGCAACCACCACCCAGGTCTGGGCTCCGCCACACAGGCCGCCCCGCGCTCGCGCCAGCCGAGGCCGGGCACCCGGGCACGGGGTCTGCTCCGTCCGCTGGGGTCAGCCGCTCTCAAGACTGCACCATTTTTACGGCAGCCCACCCGGGCGTTCGGGCGCCCGCCTGCCGGCTTCCCTCCGCGGCGCAGCGTGGGGACAAGCTGGTCGTGGCCTCGGCTCGCGCTGTCCGGAGGATCGGGGTTCGGGGGGTGGGGTAGGGGGGGTCCGAGGTGAATGGGGCGAGGGTGGGGAAGGGCGGGAGGGAGGCTGGGTGCACGGGCTTTCTCCCTCCCCACCCCAGGCTTCCTCCTTTAGCCGCGGCTCCGAGGCCCGGCGGGCCCAGCTGGGACCGGGGAGGAACGAGATGGTCCCAGGCTGTACCCCAGGGGTTCCAAAAATCGCATCGCCCGGGTGTGGGCGCCCGGAGGAAGCCGCTGCGGCGCTTGCTCGCTCGCTCGCTCGGCTCGGCGGCCGCCGGGGCGCTGCAGCCTTGGCTAAAACCCACAGCCGAGCGCACGGAGCGCGCAGCCAAAAGCTAGTGACGTCATCCGTGCAACGTGAGCCCCATCCCTTATTTTTCTGGCCTTCTTAAAGTTAGACTGCACCATTTCCCAGGCACAAAGTAGCTCCGCTTGATTCCGTAGCCAGGCAAGTCAATGGTGCCTTACAGGTAAGCCCTGCGCTCAACCACATGCCTGTCTATGCCCATAGGCATCCATGGGGCATGGAACATGTTTACATGTGTATTGTTACCCATGTGGGGGGGGGGGGAGTGCTTACATCTGTTTCTGTTGAGCCAGGACGGATCCCCTTGAATTTTATTTTTAAAAGGACTCATTGCAGAGACGGCTTTGACAGCGGATGAGAGAACTCTGGTGGCGTCCATCACTAGTGTCTGGGTTGTATTAGATCTTTGTTTCCCGCCCCCCTCCCTACCCCCACAAGGTCTCAGGCACCGAGCAGGGAGCGGCTCTGGGGTTCCCTATCAACCCCAGTCTGGGCACCAGCCACACACACAACCCCACCTCCACCCACCTGCCCTCTCTCCAGCAGGAAAACAAGAAACCTTGATGCCTGAAAGGCCAGAAGAAGAGATTGCCACGGGGTAGGGTTAAGCAAATAACTCTCCAAGCAAAGGGCTCTGGTGGGTGGAGGAGGGGGAGCCTGTGTTCAAGGCAACCTTGGGGTAGGGTTTGCTATCCGAGGGCTGATGGTAACAGCATGGGCTCTGGACAGGGTCGGCGGGACCCCAGGCCTTGAGCCGCTCCCCCGTGCGCACACACACCCGCCCACCTCGTGGATCCTGCTTCATCCCCAACCCCTCCCCCCCTCACGTGTGACCCGGCCGGGCTGCACACGCTGGGCGCCTCCCTTCACCTCCACATTCCACCACACTCTAATGCTCATCCATCTTTTTACCCTCACCCCAAAGTCGAGGAACCCCCCACCCACACTGCCACCCACTGCCCTGGGGAAATGAGAATGCCAGGCACCCGGCGAGACACAAATGGGCACGGGAGTCGAAATGAGTGCGCCTCCACCATATTCTTTGTGTCTACTCTCCCTCTTCCTCCCTCTCACTGGCTCTGTCTGCCTTCTGTCTGTCTGTCTGTCTCTGTCTCTGTCTCTCTCTCACACACACACACACATACACACGCATTTTGAATATCCACAACAAGGCCTTTCAGTGCCATCTAGTGGGGGAGGGGCGTGCCTCTCTTTTCGCCCCTGGATTCCGCAATGGGATTTTACTGAAGGGATAGCGAAACGGAGGATGGATGCCCAAACAGTCTTTGAGGGTCCGGCTGGTCTTCCCCCCACCCCCGACCCCCGCCGCAGGAACGTGCCCTGGGCCCGGTCCTCTCCCTTGGGCTCTTTAAGATGGCACAGTGTCTTCCCATTTCTCTTTCTACCCTTTCCTACTGATTCTCCCCCAATAGCACCTGTGAACATAAGGAAACAAATGGGCACTAACTCTTTTAACCCACTTAACACAGGTTAAATTTCTAAAGCTATTTTCTTTCCTAAAGCCCTGGGAATCTGCGTATGACACAGGGAGGAAGCTGAGAGGTGAAATAACACTTAAAAGGTCACCCATAAAAAAGTCAGGGCACAACCAGCCACTAGAGCCTCGGTCTCTTCGTTCCCAACTCTCCTTTCTCTCTTTGGAACCAGATCCTGAGACCGTTTTGGCAAACCAGCAGTGCCCATTTTGCAATCAGTGTACCGCTTGGCTTGTGCGTAACCTTGCTTCCTGCTTCCATTCTTCTTCCATCGCTCTTGCCTTCTAACCTGATTCAATGATGGCCTGCCTAGCAAGTGTGAGACCCTGAGTTCAAATCCCAGAACACTTAAGGAAAAATAAATAAATTGATTTGCAGTTTATGAAATTCCAAATTCTATGTGCATACACACACTTCTTTTGATGCAGCAGTAGCATTCTACAAGCTTTTTCTCAGGTAAACCAACAAACAAAAATATGGTTGCAAGTTCTCTCAGCTTCTGAGAATCCAGAGTACTCAAGCAAAGAGTTTCCTTCCCCATTGTACCCCTGTCCTCAGCTACCATATTTATTCTACCCCACCCTTCAACTTCACCCTTGACATTGTCAGTTGGAAGCAAGGGAAAAGTGGATGTCGCCTCTTTGCCATCTCGCTACCAATATGGCATCATTTGCCCAGAGAAAAAGCCTTACTTCTTAAATAGCCTTCATCCTTTTTCTCCATAGTTCACTTCACAGACTGACATGGGGTGCAACCCAAAAGTGACTTTGGGCTTAAGCCCTCCCGACACAGCTCCCCAACTCTGAGAAATGCTGTTATTTCTGCCTCAACAGGCATTCTCTATGCTAAACACCTGCTTTCTACATCTCAGCTTATTAGAAAGTCATCATGGTGTTGTTGAGCATCCTTCCTTCTTTTCTTCCTCCTGAGAGTCGTTATAACACAAGACTTGCCTTTAGCTTCTTCCTCTACCACACCACTATATTAATCGTAAATTCTACAGCTCTCCATTCAAAATTCTGCTGTAGCTCCATCTTGTCTGGGAGGTAAAATTCCAACCCACTAACCCTAACCACACCCTGCCTAAGGCTGCAGCCTGTGTTCTCCAGGGACTTCCACCCTCTAAATATGTTCTAAAAAGTCGCGCATGGGCGCCATTCCTCGTTGCCCATAAATATTTAATGGCTCTGCTTTTTAAAGTTCTTACAATAACAGGTGGCTCGTATCAATAGGTCAAATAAATATCACTTGATCATCTCACTGGATGCTGAAAAGGCAACTAATTAGGCCCAACGAACTTGCCTGATATTTCAAAGCTCTTTCAAAAGCAGGAACTGTTTTAAGTGAATAAGATCATCTCCTACATAAAGAAAAATGTCACCTCAGAAGGGAAAAAAAACCAACAGCTCAACAGACAAATTGGCAAGGTTTATAATAGAGATAACTTACAGAAAGAAGGAATTCAAATAGAAATTAACATATTAAAAAACCCAACCTCATTAGTAATCTGGAGAATACAGATTTTTTTTCAATGCTGATTTCACCTATGAGATGGGGTAAAAAATGTACATGCCTGTTAATGTCAAGTGTTGGCTGGAATGTGGAGAAACAGGCCATTGTACAGCTATGGTAGGAACATGGATTAATGCAGCCACTCTAGGGCACCATTTGGAGTCACTGCTGGGAGAAAAAAGATGTTTCATATGACCCAGATGTGTTTTGGGGTATCTAGCTTGTAAAAACACTTTGTAACCAGGTACCACCTATAATCCCAGCTACTCAGAAAACTAAGATCTG